AGAATATTATTTGTAGCCAAAACAGTTATACTACATTGCGCATGAGCAGGTCGTTATTTGTAGACAGTTATTTGCAGCTCACGTGGTGGGCTTTTGGGTAATGAAAAGGAAAACAAATTTGCATCGAATGATAATAAGGTTAAAGTGATTTGTTGGTGATAGTGTCCGCTATTCAGGGTTTTTTTGAAAGGTAATTTTTCACAAAAAAGTGCAAACTCTTTGATCCTGAGTTATTTGATATAAAATAATTAGCCGTCTTCCTATTACCTTTCAGTGGCATTTCATTCTATTTTTCTACGAGGCCTTTGCCACGGACTATTTAACAATTATTCCTCCAGCCCGAATGGGCTCTGAGTCAACTCAGAGGCCACGAGGGCGAGAGGAATAATTGTTTTAGTAAAATCCAACTAGTTGGACAAAAATATCGAGACAAAACAACTTAAAGCCAGACTTTAATCCTTTTTTGCCGTCAAAAATCAGACGCTTTTCGCTACTAGTGGGCTATAACATATAGCTTAGTAGTAGCTCAACCAATCAGAACGCAGCATTGATAATAGACAACTAGTTGGATTTTACTCTCAAATGCAGCAACTAAATTAATTTTTTTTTCTTACTCAAGTCTGAGCAAACAGTTTAAAAAGAAGAGAAAGTGACCAAAGAATCTGCAGTATCTGCGACATGTATTCCGTATTCTGCAAACTACTATCAACGGCTCACTTTAGAAAGCTGGTTTACTAATTTAGAACAAACGCCACTGAATCGTAGTCAACAGTTTCCGGCACCGTACAAACGACTTATCGACGGAATGAAGCAAAACTAACTATATGTACGATATAGAATGACTAGACAATCGACGATTTGACTAACAATTAATTACTGAGTGTTTAACTGTGACAACAGACGAATCGAAACGCACCAATGACATTACGAGTCTTCATAGCCAATAACATCACGTCTTAACAGACAGACGACCAATAACATCACGACTTAATTGACCAATCAGGTCAGTAACCAGAGTTTATTACCATCGACTGATGTCATATAATTCAATTTGAGTCAAAAGATGACTACCGCGCGGGTTGTCGAAACGTCAGTCACTGTCAACAACAGTCCTACTCAGAACTACGTTCACCCGGACTATCATACTCAACCTACTTATGAATCTTATTTCTGTAAGACGAAAGGTAGTGGTAAAATGGCATCCTCCCCTTTTTCCTCTAGGCCTAAGTTGATATAAAGTCCGCATATAATATAAACGAATTCTAATATAATTCTGTACTTCGCGCTTTTTTGCGACAGATTTAAGGTACGTTACGATAACAATGTACAAGGCAACCGATATGGTGAAGTGCTGTTGATTGCACCACGAGAGCCCCAAAAAGGCGTTGTCTTACAAGAAACCTCTCATGTTCCTAACCTCTTTGATGAAGTTGATGGTATAGGAGATGGTATGATTCTGGATCAGAAAGAGGTTGACGACTTGACCTTCTGCTGTTGTGAGTCCTGCCATGAAAGCCAATTCTGTTGGTTGTCCAGTTCATTATGCAATACCTTCCCACAGCATATCACAGCCAATCAGTTCTTTACGCCTCGGATGTTTGAAGCTTACCATCGAGAGGGCTATCGAGCATGCGTGGAAGCTGAACAGCTGCAGGATGATTTTATGAAAGTTATTGTCTCGCAAGAGCATCAAAATACAAATGTTCATCTTCATCTAGTGTAACGTTACACATCTGCAAGAGCGGCCTCTCATGACGAGGATCTAATCAAAGAGTGTCCACGGTGTGCTAATAATGAGGGGCGATTGTGTGTGGTGTGTGTGTGTATGGGTTGTTTCGATTCTTTTATTAATTATATAACTGACGATAAAATTAACAGAAAAGATGACAACGTTTTCTCGCTAAGCGATCAAGCGGCCAAATAGTTTTTTTCCTTTACTCGCGGAACCAAAACTCCCTAGAAGTAGGATCGTATTTTATTCAGTTTTCTGTGTTATTACTAATACACGTGTGTATGGCTGTTACTATAACACGCAGCTGAGTCACAGGCTTTTTAGCCCTTCTCCCTAACAGCCTGCGTAGTGCATGATCAAAGAGAAATGCACGTTCTCATGCAAAAGGAACAACAAGCCATTTCAGAGTTCCACAAACTCTTACTTTCGAAACAAAGTAAAGTGCAACTGAAAATCTTTCTAGTGAAAATGAGTTTTATTTGCATAAGGCTAGAAAATAGTTTTCATAGTAATGGCTTTGCACTTAGCCTCACCTTGAAGCAGAGCCATGCATGGAGCTCGTAAAACCAGAATGAGTTTGTATACATTAAGTGATGAATGGTGGTGTAAGCAAGGTAGTCAAGATTTCTCGGCGACTGTTTCGTTTTTCTTGAGGCCATACTACGGACTGCTGTATTTGCTGTCCACAATTGACTTCATGTATATTTACATTTAAGAATTAAAAGTAATTATAACTGAATTGTTTGAGCTTGTGCTGCGAGATCTCTGTTTAGTATGCGACAGAAATATGTGTACCACTGAACCTTTTGAAGCTCGGGGGAGGGTTTCCCATAAAATGTTAGGGATGGGGGAAGGGATCTGATAAAGCCTATATGGAGCCGAACTGGGGAGGGCGGGTTATATGAACACTGACATCTATTAACGGTGTGTATAGAATTTTAAAAAGTAAACTAGAAAAACACAGAGGAGGGATTCCCCAGTGAATACACTCCTTGCATTTTGTTTCTGTTTTAATTCTCTCCGTCACATTAGATCATCTAGCATAAGTTTAGGTGAAGGCAAATAGATTTTTCTGTCCGGTCCGATGGCCAGGTATCAATCATAACCACTAGTCATAGGCGAGTAGGTGACAACTCCATTACAAAAATAGCCAAACAAACAAACAAACAAAAAAACAGCAAAAAAAAGTACTGAGACGGGCAACTGTCTAATTTTTGTAAAATTCTTTTAGCCCCGTACATGTTGTTACGTGTTGCTATTGTTCGCATTATTGACATGGAATCTAAGGAACAAATTATCTTAGGCGATTTAAATTGCAATTATCTATCGGATAGAAATAACATGCACCTGTCTCAGTTGAAGCAATTAAGTTCGACCTATCAGTTTCAACAACTAATCAATGAACCTACTAGAATCACGCCAAATTCTAGTACACTTATTGATATAATTTTATCAAATGAACCCTCAAGGATTTTAAAATCAGGAGTGTTGCATATGGGATTAAGTGACCATAGTATGGTCTATGCAGTACGTAAGTTTGCTATTTCATCTAAAAACACTCATAAGCATGTGACCACTCGTTCTCTTAAAAACTTTAATGCAAGTGCTTTCAGGGAAGACCTAAAGTCAGCGCCCTGGGATACTACCTAAGAAACTGCACTACTCCCGATGAAATGGTTGAAATCTGGGAAAATATGGTTTTAAAAATAGCTGACGCTCATGCGCCCATAAGAACGCGGCGAGTAAGAAATAAAAAATCCCCTTGGATTACTACTGATCTGAGGGAGCTGATAACAGGTCGAAACAGACTGAAAAGGCAGGCTATATTAACAAAACAGCCATCTATCTGGGATAAATATAGAAAAGAAAGAAATAGAATAAATAATGAAAATAAAATGACAAAAGCGAATTATTATAAATCAGCAGTGGAACAAAATGTGGGTAACCCGATGGAAATATGAAGGACAATCAATGAATTAACATATCGTAAGTGCACTAGTAACTCTTCAATAAGTGAACTAAAAAGTGGTGATAATTCCTTCACAAAACCCGCAGAAATGTGTGAGATTTTAAATGACCATTTTACATTTTTTTATTGTTCAGTAGCTCTAGGCTCAAGTTCATATCTTGATCCCATCAATGTATCTTCAGTTTTAAACAGAGGTTTCAGTGGTTTCAAAACAAGCTGGTGACCACTGGAGTTCCATCGGCTACTTGATTGTATGTTGCCAGCAATTCTGTAGTCCCCCCCCCAGCCTCCAGATACTTTAAAACATTTTGAAAACCCTGAAGTTTATATACTGACGATGAGCTAGTATAATTTTACAAAGGAACCCTACCAAAGGATCAGAAAGCCAAGCCAAGTAGTGTACCATAAAGACTGATCATCTCAAAACCCACCTC